GCTTCCGTCCACTCTCAGCCGAGCAGGACTGCGAGCCCAGTGAGCGTCAGATGAAGGCAGCAGCTGGGATGCTAATGACTTTCTTCTCGGAATCTCAGCTCTAGACACTTGCAGCCCATTCCCCAGGCCCTTGCTGGTTAAGGCCTGGACAGAGAACCTTCAATTCCCCATGGCTACTACCCCATAAATCAAACAAAAGGAATAGATCCTTCCACCAGGCCTATGAATCAGAGAGCCTGGAGGCTTGGACGTTTCTGGCCCATGGAGTCCGGTCATTTCAGATCTGAGAGAAACCTGGAGGATTCCCAGTTACATCTACCCATGGGGGGCCCTGTTGGAAGGCAACTGAGAAAGGTTCTGGAGAAAAACACTTAGCTTTTCTAGCCACAAAAGAAAGGAAGGAACCTTATTCTTTTTCAAGACAGGCTCGCGCTATGCTGACAAGACTAACCTGAAACTCAGTACCATTCCACCTCGGCCGCTTCACACTGGGATTACAGGCAGCATGCACAGGCTGGCCTACCTGACAGAGACTTTCTGCACGTCTGTGGATACACAGGGCCCAGGGTCTGTCTCGCCACCTGTCCCACCTGTGCCCTGCAGCTCCTAGCTACCTCAATATTTTCACCGTTGTTAGGCAGCCCTTCTACACCTGGCTTCCTTCAGTAAGGTGACCCAGCACCTATGTGACGTGGCAGTGGGCAGGTGAAGGCTGCACACTTCCTCAGTCCCTACAGATGTGCTCAGCATTCTTTGTCATTTATTTGTCCATTCATTCATTCATTCATTCATTCATCCATTTATTTCTGGACAGGGTTTCACTCTGTAACAGCCCTAGCTGTCCTGGGCCTCCCGAGTGCTGGGATTAAAGGCGTGCGCCACCACCCAGCCCAATTCTTTTTCTTTCTTAATAAAAAATTCATATTTATTTACTTACTTATTTTTAAAAGACAGGGTTTCTCTGTATGGTCCTGGCTGTCATAAAACTTGCTCTGTAGACCAGGCTGACCTCCAAGTCAGAGATCCACCAGCCTCTGCTTCCTGTATGCAGAACTAAAAGCATGTGTCACCTCGTCTAGGTTAAGTTTAAAAATTAATGTGATATTTTCCCTGCATATATGTCTGGGCATCCTATGTGTGCCTGATCCTGTGGAGGCCAGAAGACGGGGCACATGCAGTGACAGAGGGTTGTGAGCCTCCATGTGGGTGCTAGCCGTCTTCCTCTGGAAGAGCAAGTGCTCTTAGCCCCTGAGCCATCTTTCCAGCCTGTGTTCATTGTTCTTTTTTTCTTTACTGTTTTTGAAACAGGCTGTTATCTAGCCCAGGTTGGCCTCAAATGCCTTATGCAGCTGAGAATGAACTTCAACTTTCAATTCTCTGGCCAAGCCCTCCTACACGCAGTGATCACAATGTGTGTCCCACAGCCAGTGCGCAGCGCTGGGGACTGAAACCAGGGCTTTGTGCATGCGAGGCGAACTCCCTGCCAACTGAGCTGCACCCAGCCACTGTGTTCATTACCCCAGTTGGGTTCTCTTCTCTTCCTAGCTTGGGATCTGTGGGCCACTATTTATATCACCCATTTAAATCTGTATGGGGCTAGTATAATATGGGTAATTAATTCACTGGGCAAGAGGGAGCCATGTTTAACAGAAGTGTCTACCTACAGGGAAAACAAGACAATGGAGCCCAGAAAGTCAGAGTCTCCGGGGCTCAGTCAATCCCTGAGACCCAGGAGTAAGGGTGGACTGTTCAGGGTCTTTCCTGCTCTGGGAAAAACTCCCAGTGTGATTGGGGAGGGATGGACCTGTGTGGAAGCTGGTTAGGGACTAAAATGTAATTTAAGACAGCATGTGGCAGCCAGGCGGTGGTGGCGCATGCCTTTGATTCCAGCACTTGAGAGGCAGGGGCATCTCAGTGAGTTCGAGGCCAGCCTGGCCTACTGAGCGAGTTCCAGGACTGTTATGCAGAGAAACTTTGTCTCAAAAAGAAAAAAAACAACCAAACAAAAATAGATGTGTTGCAGCTCAGCTGAGCTGACAGAGTTACTTGTTTAGCTTGCGAGAAGCCCTGGGTTCCATCCCACATAAATACACCGGGGCTTGGTGGTGTAAGCCTGTAATTCCGGCAGCTGGGAGTGGGGGCAGACAGGTCAGCTCAAGGTTACCCTTAGATATAGAATGTTTGAAGCCAGCCTAGGACACACGAGGCAGTACCTCAAAAATAAGTAACTAATAAAAATGCAATTAAGGTAGTTTATTCACACAGGCATATATGGAGTCTAGTTACTGGAAAGCCATGCTCCCGCTGCCTCCTCTTCCCCTACAAATATCCCCTCTGTGGTCCCCAACATCCCTTCCCTGCCATATGCTGTTCAGCAACTACGTCTCCAAGAACAGGATGTCAGCCCCATGGAAGGTGAGGTGAGGAGAAAAACTGCAGCGGCCCTCGTACAGAAGAAGTAGCTGAGGCCCAGAGCCCACTCAGGAGGGGATCCATTCAAGGGGGCTGGCCAGTGTCCACTCTGTCCCCTCAGAAATCTGTCCAGGGAGAGACAGGAGGTGGCTCTCCTTCCTGGACACTTTGGTTTCCTCACACTTGGACTCCATGCTGTCTAGGCAGACATCTCCTCCCCATCTCATCTACCTTTCCTTTTGCTGGACTCTGACCAGAAAATTTATACTTGCTGCTTGCTCGGCCTGCTCAGCTCCAGCCACACCCGTGATCTTAGGCATTTTCTCCAGCCTGGCCTCCCTTGGTCTAATATCTTCATGCCAGAAGGAAGTTCCCTAGGGGCTGTGTCCCCAACTCTACTCCTGGAGGGTTCTGGGTTTATTTAGTTGGTCCCCACTTCTTGGCAAGATCTTTCTGAAATACACCTTTTCTTTTCTCCCCCAAATCCAAGCCTTAAGAATCAAGGGAATGGGGGCTGTTAGGGAGTGGGGAATGGGCCTTCCAGAACATGGAGACAGTTACCATAGAGCCGATGAAACCTGATCCTGGTCACTAAAGGGTTATTACTCATCCCTAGCTTCCTGGGCCCCAACATTGAGAACTCTGTGTCTGAATTCCCCAGTGCCCAGGAGCTTGGAGAACTGACAGCTCTCAGCACCAGCTGCAGGCTGAAGAACGGGCCTGCTTCCTGAGCTGACAGAAGTGCCCAGGGAACACAATAATGGTGACATTTAAAAGTGAACGAGAGCTCAGATGTGAGATGGGGGCAGTCAGGGAATAGCCAACCGGCAACAGTCCAAAGAGGAGCTCCATCAAGGTGACCAGATGGTTATGGTGGAGGACAGGGCGGGATGCTACACTCCCCCTGCCCATGAGTCCCATGTTGAAACATGTCTTTTTCATTCTTCTGTCCTCTTTCTCCCCCCACTTTTGATCTCCACAGCTCAGAGTTGCATTTCCTCTTCAAACCACAGACACTGATGCTTTTCTTGTTGGTTCCTGGCATTTCTTCTTCCCAGAGGAGCTTCTCTCCTCAGGGGCCTCCGCTACTTCAGCCAGGTGGTGGCCCCAATCGTAGCCCTTTCTGGAAGGGCAGCAACCACATATGCTCCCATTCTCTCGTTTTGAAGAAAGCCAATGCTTTGGCAGAATGCTTTTTACATACATTGATTGTGTGTGTACACATTCCCCAAACTCAGAGAACGACCTGCAGGAGCAGGCTCTCTCCTAGACTATGTGGGTCCTGGGGATTGAACTCAGGCTGTCTAGCTTGGTGGCAGACTCCTTTACCTGCTGAGCTCAACTCAGTGGTTTGGTTTGATTTTTTAAATAAGGTCTTACTGTGTGGTCCATACTGCTGCCCCTGAACTCACGGAGATCCACCTGCCTCTGTCTCTAGAGGGCTGGGATTAAAGGTCTGAATTGATAAATTTTTCCTTTGCTAGAAGCCTCCACCCCCCTCCCCCCCAATACAGGGTTTCTCTGTGGTTTTGGAGCCTGTCCTGGAACTCACTCTGTAGACCAGACTGGCTTCAAAATCACAGAGCTCCATCTGTTTCTGCCTCCTGAGTGCTGGGATTAAATAACCAAATTCTTATTTACTTCTGGATCTTCTTCGATTTGTGATGTGGTCTTTTTGATTTAGAGAATGTGTCACTGGGCTACGAATGGGCTAGGCATGTGTGTATGTGTTTGTGTATGTGTGTGTTATTTGTATGGTTTGCTTAAATAACAAACAGGGTGGGAATGCCCTGGGTAAGGTGTGTGTGTTATCTGTATGGCTTGGTTTAATAACAACCAAGGCATTGGGTAAGGTGTGTGTGCATGAGCACGCATGTGTGCATGTGTATGTGTTATTTGTATGGTTTGGTTTAATAACAAACAGGGAAGGGCTGCCTTGGGTAAGGTGTGTGTATGTGTTATTTGTATGGTTTGGTTTATTAACAATAATAACAAACAGGGAAGAGATGCCTTGGGTAAGTCTGTGCTCTTTCCCCTAGTCTTGTGGTCTTTCTCTGAGCTGTCCCTTGTCCTCCCTGCCTGCTCATCTCTTCCTGACCAACCCTGTTCTCCACTCCAGGCAGTGAGCTGCCTCATGGCTCCTCAAGACATGTCGAGCCTCACCCGATTCCTCACCTCACACGGCCAGCTCCTGCTGCCTGCAATATGTCCTTGGTCTTAGCACTAGGTCAGAATCTGTGCCACCCTTTGCCATATGAACTCACTGCCCCTAACAAGCCCTCCCCACATGGTGCCATGCACGGAGACTGCTTACTTCTTGGTCCCCCTTTGGAATGAGACTTGAGAGGGCAGGGTCACACAGCTCTCACCTCCGTTTCCCACACATACAAGTGCCTAGTTCCCAGTGCACCCCACAGAAAGCAGGCAGACACCAGAGAGGCATCTGCAGCTGCAGTCCTGCCTCCCTTCACCATGAGCGTGAAGGCCTCCAGGTCATCTTTGTTCCCCAGGAACCCAGTCTCTACATCATGAGAGTCTCAGACCGGGCACCATTTACACATATTTTTAGAAGCAGCAGAGGTTGGTACCTGAGTTTGTCCGCAATGAAGATGACCCTCCTTTCCAGGAGCAGGGAGGCAAAAACACTGACGAGGTGCCGGACGCTGAGGGAGGAGAACAGAGACTCAAAATCCACGTGCTCCAGCCGGGAGTCCAAGGGCCGGCATAGCTCAATCACCTGCCAGGGAATGGTAGCAGCTATGAGAGTAGGATTGGTTACACGGCAGGCCTCCTGGAGACAAGGAAAAGGGACGTGGTCCCTGGCCATTGAAGGAGGCTCCTCCTGGAAGAGCACATTTGTATGCCCCTTGGATGGTCCTGCGAGAAAATCCTGCCTTCTGAAGGCCTGTTACTGCTAGAAGAAAATCCCAAGCCTACGCACATAGCTCAGGCTGGCTTCAAATTTTCTATGTAGCTTGGGCTAGCCCTCAACTATTTATTTATTTATTTGTGTATGTATGCATATATGTATGGAAGTGTCTGTACATGATGTGTGCCAAGGCACACACGCAGGTGGAGGTCAGAGGATGTTTTTCACAAGACAGTTCTCCTCTCCCACCACGGGTTCCAGAGATCAAACTCAAGTCATTGACTTGATCAGTAAGTGCTTTTAAGGAAAAAAAATATTTTACGTGTATTGGTGTTTTTGTCTGCATGAATGTGCACCATGTACAGACAATGAAGTACCCACAGAGGCCATTAGGTCCTCTGGAACTAGAGGATGGTTATGAGTCACCATGTGGGTGCTGGGAATTGATCCTGGGTCCTCTGGCAGAACAACCAGCATTCTTTTGTTTGTTTCCCCGAGACAGAGTTTCTCCACATAACTGTCTTAGAACTCACTCTGTAGACCACATTGGCTTCAAACTCAGAGATCCACCTGCCTCTGCCTCCTGAGTGCTGGGATTAAAGGTGTGTGCACCACCACCACCACAGGGCTCAATCACCACTCTTAACCACTGAGCCACCATTCCAGCTCTATGTCCTTGAACTCTTGACTCTCCTGCCTCTACCTTCTGAGGCTGGGGTTACAGGTATGCACCACCCTGCAACATGCCAACCACTTCTGTGTTTTCCTAGGTTGTAGCTGCTGCGTTTATTGTCTTCATCCTCACTTGCTCACAAGACCCTGGATTTATCTATCGCATGTTGCATGTGTGAGTCTCTAAGTTTCTCTGTGAAGAGCTGACTTCCGTACAGTGACGTCAGTGAACACTAGGTCCTCCTGCTACAGCACCCACTGAATACTCTCCACATGCCGGGGCTCCCTCACTCCTAACCTCCAGATACAACCCCACAGCCAAGCTACTACACCTGTATGGGTGTAGTTCAGCTCAGTGCTGAAAAACTGGGTTGATCTGGTATATTCCCGATGCACCCTCATCTCTTCTGTGTCTAGAAGCAACTGGTTTACAGCAGAGAGCCAAGGACCATGTTCTGATGTTTACAGGGTCTGACCAAGTAAATGACAGGCTTTGAAGCCTGGGGTAAAGATTAAGTAGCACCCAAGATGGTCTTCAATGAAAGGAACAGTTCAAGTTATAAACTTAGAAAGCAATGCAGACTCAAACGTGAAGAGAGCCAGTGAACTGATGATCGACTACAGGGTTTGAGAAGAAGCCATGGAAACACAGTGCATGGCTCAAAAAACCACACACTGTGCAGCACGGCTCTGTGGGCTGTTCCCTGAAGCCAAGCCTGGTCTGCACAGGCGGGACTGAGGGTGGGGTTTACGAGCAGGGCTCGAGGAAACCACCGAGTTGGATGGCCTGCTGAAAGACTTAGCCGCTCCAGCCACAGGGACTTGGCTGGCTGGGCCACCTGTTCTCCCGACAGAGGAATCGAGGCTGACGGCTCACCTCAGTTCCCGAGCCTGGTAGGAAGTTCTTGACAAGGATGGTTTTGCCCAGGGCTGGGAAAGGGGCTTCCATGACGCTCCTCATGAGGGGCTGCACCAGAGCAGGGGAAATGCCTCTTCTCTTTTCCACCTCATCCAAGATCTGCGAGAGGCAGAGAGGCGGCTCAGCTCTTCTGCAGTCAGGTGGTTGCAGTGGGCCTGCCGCTGTGACTCAAGAACTCAGGGGAGGGAGCGGTGGGAACTCATGAGGAGCTGTTGACTCCTGGCTCCATACAAACAGGTCCCAATACTTCTCTTCTGTGTCCCTTTACCACGTGACTTTGTAGTTCCTACTACTCATCCACAGGGGAAACCATAGTTTCCTCTTGCTCCTCTGACATGTGACTTACTGGACTAATACAGGTACATTTTTTATTCCTGGGCTTGGGGATAGAGCCAAGGGCTTTGGGTATAATAGGAACTGAGCTATAACTCTGACCCATCCATCCTTTCTCCCTTCCTTTGTCTGTTTTTTTTCTGTCTCTCCTTCAGGACACAGCTCTTAAAATCATCTTTCTTGACAGGGTCTCTCTCTTTACTCCAGGATGGCCTTGAACTAGCAATCCTCCTGCCTCAGCCTCTCCAGAGCTAGAATTATAGGAGTGAGCCACCATGGTCATTCCCTTCATTAACTTATTTCTTGAACCAATGAGAGAAACTGTTGAGAAGTGGGCAGAGAGCGAAGAAATGGTGAGGAAAAGAGTCAGAAAAAGACTAAAAGTGCTGTTTCCGGGGTCCCTCTGGGGCCAGCCCTGTTCTCCCACCCTCTCTCTGGGCAAGTTCTCACCTTTGAAAAGAGGCTGAAACATCCCAGACGGCTCACAATGCAATAAACTTCAGGAAGCCTCTTCCCTTTGCCTCCAGGCTTTTTGGGAGAGAAATGTAAAGGCATCATGAGTGTCAGTGTCTGGGAAAAAAGGAAGCCCCAGGGCTGTCATGTGAGGCAGGCAGGTACTCACCATCACCCAATCTTACTGGTCAGAAGTCTGTTAGAATGTGCATTTTTGCTTTAAAAATACTTATTGCATTTATTTATTTGTGTGGGCATGCACATACAAGCCGTGGCACACATGTGAGTGAGGTCAGAGACCAACTTGTAGGTCAGTTCTCTTTTCTAAGAGCAAGTCAGACACCTTGGAGCTGGAGTTACGGATGGCTGTGAGCTGCCGGGTGCATTCTGGGAGCTAAATCCGGGTCCTTTGCAAAAACAACAAGTACTCCGAGCCCCCAAGCCAGCTCTCCAGTCCCTGTGGGTTCCAGGGCTCAAACTCAGGACATCAGGTTTGTCTGCAAGTGCCTTTACCTCCTGAGCCATCTTCCCAGGCCTAGTTTTACTCTTTGGAAGTTCCCAAGGTCAAGGGTGGATATGCTCGGTGCTGATGTAGTCTTGGACTGTGAGATCAGAGGCTTGTTCACCCGCTGCTTCACTGTAGTCCCCCGCACCCGTTGTTTGAGAATGAACATTTATTAAAACCATGATCCCGAAGAGAAGTTATTTCTGACATCCTCTCTGGGAACTCACTTTAGACAGCTTTTCAAGGGAAAAGGAACAGTCGATCTCAAAACCTTAAAGCAACTACGGTAACACAGACGTCACTCCTTTTAGCCTCTTCAGTTGTTACCCACACTCATGATCCACCAAGTCAGTAAGTATCAAACATCTATTGTGTTGCGCGTTAGCAGCCCCCACCCTCCCCTTTCTTGCAATGGCCGGAGAAAGAAACCAGGGCCACTGCTGACCTACATCCCTACCCCTTTTAAGCACATTCCTGGGGCTGGAGAGATGGCTCAGTGGTTAAGAGCATTGCCTGCTCTTCCAAAAGTCCTGAGTTCAATTCCCAGCAACCACATGGTGGCTCACAACCATCTGTAATGGGGTCTGGTGCCCTCTTCTGGCCTGCAGGCATACACACAGACAGAATATTGTATACATAATAAATAAATAAATATTTAAAAAAAAAAAAGCACATTCCTATGCCTGGTGTCCTTGACGTCAAAAGAGCAAACTGGATACCCTGGAGCTGGACTTATGGATGGCTGTGAGCTGAAACTAAACCCAGGTTCTTTGCAAAAGCAACAAGTGCTCTAAGCCCCCAAGGCAGCTCTCCAGTCTCAGTTTCTGACTTTTTTTTAAGAAAGATTTATTATGTTCATTGGGGTTTTGTGGAATGAATGTTTGTGTTGAGGGTGCCAGATCTGCTGGAACTGGAATTACAGGCAGCTGTGAGCGGCCATGTGGGTGCTGGGAATTGAACCCAGGTCCTTCGGAAGAATGCAGGGCGCTTAACCGCTGAACCATCTCTTCAGTCCTCTCCAGTCCTGAACCTTCTGAGCCCTGTGTTCTTCTAAGCAACTATTCTGAATGTTCTCACTCAGTAATCAGGGGCTGGTTAGCAATGTTCTATTAAGAAGGAAAATTGGTTTAAGGAGAGAAAGGTCTTTAATTTGATGGGGAAAAAAAGAAATCAAACATTTTCTCTCTCTTCCTTCCTCTCCCTCTCTCTCTTTTTCTGCTTTTTTGGTTTTTCAAGACAGGGTTTCTCTGTGTAACAGCCCTGACTGTCTTGGAACTCTCTCTGTTAGAGTTTAAGGATAGTCTTGAACTCACAGAGAGCTGCCTGCCTTTGCTTCCCAAGTGTTAGGATCAAAGATATGTGCCACTATGTCAGGCAATAAAGTATTTTCTTGCTTATGGAAATAAATATATCACCTCTACCTACTAAAAAAACTTAGTGATCTTCAAATCTGTGTTTATGTGTGTGTGTGAGCGCGCAGCTGTGTGATTTGAAACAAGTTGGCCTTGAACCTAAGAGCCTCCTGCTAACTTCTTTGGCACTGGGATTACAGCAGGTGTACATTACCAGGTCTAGCCTTATCTATCTTTTTCACTCCTTAGTTAACCTGCCACCATCTGCTACTCCAACAGCAGAGGCAAAACCTGAGTCTCAAGGGGTCAGCTCTCTAGGAAACTCTGGCTGAGAGAAAGGCAGAGTACTAACCAGCAATCTTCGGCAATAACCGAACCTTCTGCTCCCGTCTTCTCCAGTTAAGACAAACGAGAATGTTTCACTGTGGTTGTGAAAACACAAACAGGTTACAACACATGACACAGCCAAAGGCACATCCCCACAGGAGCAGTGAAGCAGCGGTTAGCAAGGGAAAGGCTGGAGAGCCTGCTCAGAGTTCTTTGCTTGTGAAACTCAGGTCACCCAAGTAAACGTCAAGGAGGCAGAGTAAAAATGTGCTGAGAGGTTTTTCACCCTGAGCTGTCCCAGAATTTCGTCACCCGAGCTATGCTAGGGCGTAGATCTAGTGGTATTCACCACTGTGACTGCAGAGAAGGGAGAGGAGTGTGTTTCTCTTCACTGATGGAAGGAGAGGGTGTGGCTCAGGAGGGAACATCGGGACTGGGCCTTTCTCAGGCCTGGCCATGGTGTGGTTCTCTCACAGAGATGTTCTTACACAGCTACTTTCAGGCTTGCCTTCAAGACGGCAGACAAGCTTCACAGGACAAAGTGTCCCTCAAAAACTCGGCGTGTGAGCCTACTGAGTTGGGCCAATGCGGACAGCTAACACCATGCATGCTCTAAGCAGAAATGTGAACAGACCCCATCGGAGTAGCAGCTAAAGAGCCACTGGAACGCTTCCCAAGCCCCATGTGGGTGAGGACGGACAATGGGCAGCTTCCCTGACTTTTCCAAGATTAGGATTCTATTCAGGAGGCTTCTGAAACACACAGGCCTCCCTCTAGACTATGGGAAGCTTCCTAAATAAATGCCCACTAAGAAGGTGTCTCTTGTCTCGGGGAAACGTTAAAAACACACTGGGAAAATTTCTAGGCTGGTGCCCATCAGGATGGCTTAACTCCTAAGTTATGGGCTCTGCTATCTATGACCTCCTCTGCTCCTCCCAACTTAGTTGTGAGAGGGGAGTCAGAAGCTCTTACCTAGTAAACTCCTGGACGGGAGCCCAGTCCTTGGCGTCAGGAAAGCAGAACTGGGGAATTGCCTTCAGCTGGTCCTCAGCCTCCCTCATGAACTTGAATGACTTTTCTAACTGCAAAGGGAATGGCGGGAGAGGGTCACAGCCTAAATCCCAACAATGGAGCAAGAGGTGAAGGCCCTGTGTCCTTCTCTGGCTATGACTACCAGCTCAGCGACTTGCTGGGGAAGGGTCTGAAGCCGCCTGTATGCTGTTCCCCCAGACAAAGCAACTGTAGTCTAAGGGTGCAATCAGCAGACAGAAGATCACATGCTTCAGAAAGACATTCTGTTTAATATTCTGGAATACAATGCTCCTGTAAGGAAAAGTCTCCATGGCAACCCCTTCCGAGGGGCACGGATCTGGAGACAGCGCTGCACAGCAGCTCTTCTGACCTCCAAGTGTGGTAATACTCACAGGGACTACAGATAGCACAACCACATTACAGAGAAACCAACGAGTCCCGCGGGGTCACCGAATGTGGAACTGGAAAGGAGCTGGACATAATGAGGCCCGCTCTCTCATCTCAGACAGAAGAAACAGGCCCTGTGATGGTAAGTGTCTCGTCCTGGTCACACAGCAAGTTTAGAGCGAGGAAGGAAACTGATCATGACTCCAGCGCTGTCTCCAGAGCTCAGGACAGACTCTCAGGCAGTACAAACAGGGAGGAGGAGGGTAAATTAAAGTTTGATTTAGAGGTTATCTTTACTGTCATGAAGATGTGGTCGCACATACATGTAAGCTCAGCCGCTTAGCTACGCGGTGAGTTCACGGATGACCTGACTCCGTGAGAGGCTATGTCAAAATAAACTAAAAAATTGAAGTAACAAGTTTGTTTATTTTGTGTATCAAATCAACAGGAATCTGTTCTCATTTTCTAGACGGCTTTTTGCTTTGTTTTTATTTTTATTATTTATTTACTTTCATGTGTATGTGTATGCACCTGGATGAGTTTATGTGTACTATGTTTGTGACGGTGCCCTTGGAGGCCAGAGGGCACTGGATCCCATGTATCTGGAGTCACAGCAGTTGTGAGCCACCTGATGTGGGCACTAAGAACCGAAGAGTAGCAAGCAGCCTTAGCCACCGAGCAATCTCTTCAGACCCTTGTTTCATTTTATTTTTTTCTCTTGTTTTTATTTTTTGAGACAGGGTTTCAATATGTAGTTCAGGCGGACTTTAAACTCACAAAGATCAGTTTATGCCTCAGTTACAAGTGCTAGGATTATAGGTGTGAGCAACCACACCTGGCTTAATGGAATATTAGCGTGAAAAGTGGACTGCCAACCTTGAACACCTGGCTTAATGGAATATTAGTGTGAAAAGTGGACTGCCAACCATGAATAAGTGACCGTTGGAATGTGAGATAAAGACGATTATTTAAAAGCTGGGCATGGTGGCACATGCCTTTAATCCCAGCACTTGAGAGGCAGAGGCAGGAGAACCTCTGTGAGTTCGAGGCCAGCCTGATCTACATAATGAGTTCCAGGTCAGCAAGGACAAAATAGGGAGACCTTGCTCAACATGCACAAGTTTATGCAAGCACACACGCACGAATGCACACACGCACATGCAAGCACACACGCACGAATGCACACACGCACATGCAAGCACACACGCACAAATGCACACATGCACACATGCACATACTTGCAAATCACCACCAGCACCAAAAAAAAAAACAAACCAAAAAAACCCAAACCAAAGCAAATAAAACAAAACCAAACAACAAAATTATCAAAAATCCAAATAAACAGGATCAAGCTGAGGCTATATTCTATCTCAGAACAAAAGAAGGAGGGCCAGAATGAACCAGAATGAACCAAAAAAAACACACTTACATAAGAAATAGCAGGAGCAAGATACATTTCCAACAGAGAAAGATCAATTAAACAGAGTCCCTACATACTGGGGAACTAGAGAACTTCAAGAAAGATGCTTCGGAATTTGTATTAAATATGTTTTAAAATAATGTTCTTACAAGGCTGCACATGGCTCGTGACACAAAACCACCGTAACGGCTGCAGTATAAAGAGAGGAAATACAGTAGGAGTTAAGACTAGAAACCAAATCATCAACGTGCTAGCTGAGGAGATCACAGGTGATTTTTTTTTCTTTCTATCTTTCTGAATTAGCTCCGTTTTAATAATGAGTTCTCAGTGGGAGTCTGAGTCAAAAGCCTCCTGGCGGGAAATGGCAAGCATCTGGTACTTCTGATGGCTCGGTGATTAACTCATGACTTGATGCCCTTGTTCCTGGAACCCCAAACAAGTGCTGTCACGTGCACAGCCATGTGCTGGCACCAAGACCGTCGTGCCTCGGAGCCTACTGGGGCTCTCAGTCGGGCACGTCCCCTGCATCCAGACATCCACGCAGTGGGGTTTTCAGAAGAGTGTTCCTTAAAGGCGTGGCAGCTGATGGAAGAGGGGTAGGCGTGTGCGTGTGTGTGTGTGGGGAAGGCGTGTGCCTGTGGTTTCCGCCGTTTACATCACTGTTCTACACGCCAAGGACTGTGTGGGAAAGGACATGAGCAGGCAGACTGGCGGGGCTCAGGCCAGAAGGGTCCTGCATGAGGTGACTGCCACAGAAGCCCAGCGTGAATCAAGATGAGCTCCCCTTCTTCTGAGGCTCTGGTCTCTGTCATATCCTACCCCGATAGCTCCTGTGCGCGCGCACACACACACACACACACACACACACACACACACACACACACACACGGTTAGCATAGTTCTGGTTCACCTTCCGAAAGGACAGAAAACCGTCTTAGTTATCTTTACAATCACCTGGGGCCAAGCAGAAGCGTTTGAATGGGAATTCTGGTCGAACTGACTTAGACTACAGCAGACTCTGTACAGACTTCAAAGCCTGAGAGTAACTCCAGTGTCACTGGGCGTGTCCCTGCTCTATTAGGAGCACTTTACTTTAGGTCCCCGATACCATCAGTGGGATAAGGCTTTCCTGACACTCACAGAAACGGTGCATTCCAAACAGCACAGACAGGATGCTACATAGGAGGAGCTGAGTGGCTAAAGGGCAAATGCTGTCACAGCCTGGGAAGGAAGAGGGCTTGGCTGAACATAGGCTGGGGAACGACAAAGAGGGCAGAGGCTCAGCACTGTGACCACAGAGGGTCTCACTTTGTGTCCTTTAAGAAGACATTGAACCTCTGATCCTTTTCCTCCAAGTCTCAAGTTTTGAGATCACAGGTATGCACATACCTGCCCAATGTGGGATTGGGGATCAAACGCTGGGCTTTGTGCAAACTAGCGCTGGAACAACCAAGCTACGGCCCCAGTCTCTGGAAGGTTTCTTTTCCCTTTTTCTTTTCTTTCCTTTTTTTTGAGACAGGGTCTCACTAAGTAGCCTTGGCTATCCTGAAACTCTCTATATAGATCAAACTGACTTCAAACACACAGACTCACTTCCACCTGCCTCTGCTTCTACCTCTTGAGCACTGGGCTTAAAGACTACACCACCACACCTGGGAGTATTGTTTGTCTGTTTTGTTTTTTTTTTTTTTGGCCTGTTTTTGATTCTTAAATCTGTCTTCCAGTACTAGTTTTTTTTTCATGTGGCGGATATGTCTTAGGACTCACTTAGAAGGTTCTAGACCTCATGTCTTTCCCAGACTGCCTCACCTCCCCGCATCCAAACTGACAGCCAGAATGTAGCAGTCCCCAGGCAGCCCATGGCCCCTGCCTCCCCTACCTTCAGAGGAAACTGCTGGGTGAGTTCTGGCACATAGGCAGCCCCTGCCTGCTTCTTGTGCAAAGACACGACCACAAAGTACTCGAAGAGTTGCCTCTCCTGGTACTCGATGAGATCCCGGTCAAGAGTGGAGTAGCGAGGGGCCTGCTTCAGGCGGGACTTCACATTGACCAGGCGCTGGCTGTGGGCTGTGGAGAGAAAGAAGCCGTAGGCCTGACACATCTGCCGATGTGGAATCCATCAGTGCTTGACCAGATTATGTAATTCCTAGCTTCAGGACATTTTCTAATCCCGAGTCTTTCCACATCTAGCAAAATCAGTAGACAAGTTTTTCTTTGGGCCTCCTGCCAAACTCGAGGAAGGGACACCCTCCACTTGCAGGCCTGCCAGCCAAGCAGGGCACAGGATCCGGGCTCAGCACTGGCCAGGCCTTGCTACTAATCCTAAAACAGAAGATCCGCATGGCTTCCCTTCCGCTTGTCTTTAGGGTGGGGACTTGTACACTTTCCCGCGTGCACTTCCACGTCGTTCAGTGTGTGCAAGTGACAAAATCCAGACCCTGGACTTTTAGAGCTGAGAGCTTTGTAAACATCCCATGTGACATAAACGCAGAGGCCCGCGACCTCAGGAACTCACTCCCACTTCTGGCCCAGCCAGTTCTCTGCAGTGGGAATGGGATTGTTTATTCTGGGGGTGGCCCAGATAGTGGCTGGTGTCAGAGGTAATTCAGGTAGGGCCATTAAGTGGACCAGGGCTGCCTTCTCCATTTCCCAGTGGGGTCTGGGAAATCACAGAAAGCTCACTAAAGCTTGGACCTGGGTCACTGAATGTCACGTCCCCAGAGACCAACTGCTTTACCTACTTCGTCTGGCAACCGAGGAACCAGATGCCCTGAGAACTTAAGAGACTGCTTGCAGCTCACAGGCTCTCTCAAGTGTGGTGCCTGGCATCAACAGAGGTGTAGGAACAAGTGGTCACACTACTGTCACAGTCTCTGAGCCGGCTATGCCCGTCCCTCGGCAGTGGAAGGATCTGTGACTACAGCTTCCGGGTCACCTCACGCCCTGTTCTCCTCACCTTTCAGCTTCTCCTCGGTGTCGCTGTCAGACTCGCTGTTCTCGTCTGTCACTGGACCAAAACAACAAGGGAGGAAGAGGCAGATGTGAATTCCAGAGCAAGAAACAGACCCCAAACTTCTAGGCCAGAGGGGGTGTTTGGTCAACTGTGTAAACAGGCCAGTCAAATTCTGCTCAACTTAATATGGCAGCAAACCAATCTGACTGTGGGTAAGGTGGCTCCTCTATCAGACTACTGGAGCTGAGACAGGAAGGTTGTGGCCAGAGTCTGGTGACACGCAGCCCTGGCTGACACAATGGAAACCAAGGCAGAGGAAGCCAGAGCATGTGCCACTGAGCTGGCTTCTGGCCCTTTGTGCCAGAGACAAGGGCAGACAAGAAGCAGATGCTTGCTTCCTCCTCAGTGAACCAAGAAACGGCAGAAGACACTCTAGGAAGCATGTCTTCAAATTATGGGCAGATTCCAGGAGGAGGACAGTCCAGCAGGGAGGGGCAGAGGTAGCTACCTTTTCCTGAGTTGCTCTCCGTGGACTGGGATAGCCTCTTCACCCGTTTCTTTCCTCTCCGGGCCTCATAAACGGCATTGATCCGCAATACCAGCTGCCAGGTGCCAGAAGAAAAGCCAGTGTTAACTCTCCTCCCTAGTGTGGGCAGCTGCCTAGGCTGGCCCTTCTCTCCTAGGAAGATGCAGTGCAGCAAAGGGGAAGGGACACACTTCCAAGCCTTACCTCACTGCGCCAAGGGCAGCCAGGGCCTCAACAGTCCTGCAACCAGCTGAGACACTGGGGAGGTTGCAGGGAGGGCCACACAATTTCCTTGGTTCACAGTGTCACTCAGCTCCCCCTCTGACACTCTAACACTGCCGTGTCACTGTGGCTTAGGAAAGAGCTATTTACTCCCAAAACCAGGGAAGGAAAAGACAGAAAAAATAATCCCCAGGCAGTGCCACTCTGGTGGGAACCATTCCGAAGAATGTCTGAACAGCCGCCAGAGACGGAACAGCGCTGACAGTGGCTTCTGAGTCCCATTCTTGACTGCGCCAAGGGTGCTCCGGAATGGTCCACATCCTGGAGCTGAAGGCACCCAGCCCAGGTGACTTCTCCAGTCACAGAGGCCCTGCTAGCCCCTGCTTCATGCCACAGCCTCTCCAGTGCCACGTGGGCTGCCACTGCCCATGACACAGCTTACATGAGAACAGATCGGCTTCAGACACAAAGGCCTCTCTGCTGCTGGCCAGATAAGACTTGGGGTTTCCTAGGTGTCTCTTTTCTCTGAGCTTTGAGCGGTTAAACTCCCAGCACCCACATGGCAGCTCATAACCAGCTGTAACTTCAGGTCTAGAGGATCCAGTGCCTTCTTCTGGCCTCTGCAGACACCTGGCACGCATAAGGCAAATATTTCATGCAGGCAAAGCACCCATACACATAAAACAATTTTTTTGATTTTCAAGACAGGGTTTCTCCGCAGCTTTTGGTTCCTGTCCTGGAACTAGCTCTTGTAGACCAGGCTGGCCTCGAACTCACAGAGATCCGCCTGCATCTGCCTCCCGAGTGCTGGGATTAAAGGCGTGTGCCACCACCGCCCAGCTTAAAAGATTTTTTTATGTATAGAGAAGAACAGGAACAGCGTAGGTCCTAGTGTATTGAGTATTTAGCTGAATGGTGTTGGTGTCTCTTGCTTTAAATCCCAGGGAGGCAGAGGCAGGAGGATCTCTGTGAGTTTGAGGCCAGCCTGGTCTACAGAGTGAGCTCCAGGACAGTCAGAGCTGTCACAGACACTGGCAGGGACTGTTCAGGAGGTGGGAGAGGAATGACACAGGGCAGCCATAATAACAGAAGACGACCCCATACATCCTGGTCCGCTGGCTTCATGGTGTCCCCTTGGCCTCTTGTGATACAGAAAGCAGAGACCCTCATTTCATCCCTCCTCAACTTCCTCTGTAGAGAAGTGGGGGTGCATCCCAGACCTCAGAATCTAAAGTGTGGGTTACCCTGGGGATCTTTTTCTTCTTCCTGCCATTCTGTAGGTCTCCGAGGTTAAAGAAAGTGTCATCCGGGCTGCTAGGTGTAGAGGGGGGGCTGGCTCTCACTGGGGACCCCGCTCCATCCCGACTCAGCTTCCGGGTGTCCAGCAGTTTGAAGTTTCTTCTCTCTGAATTTTGCCGGAAAAATGCAGACTTGGACAAGGATTGCTGTGTGAGAAAGGCGAGAACTGTAAGTCCCAACAAAGGGGCCGAGGCAGGAGATCTCAGTGTAGGGATGGGGGACTGAGCAGGCTGGGCTGGGAGGGAGAGCTCACTGTGGGGACGAGGAACTGAGCTGGCAGGGCTGGGTTCCCAGGGTACCTGGGGTTTGCTATGTTGACCATGCTGTGCTCCTAGCTAGTTGTGGGAAACGTATATGACAAAGGATGGGAATCTGATGCACCTGCCTCCGCCCTGCTTCACAGACGAGACTTGATGATAGAGACACCGGTCCTGGTAGATCACAGGACTAAACCGGCTGTGGCCCTGGGCTGGCTTGTCAAGTGCCTGCCCCACAGGAAATTTCACCCCTCTGGGCATCGGTGTCTCTCTTCATTTGTAGTATTGGCATTTGAGTCTCAGGCCTGACACAGACAGGCACTGTATGCCGAGCTAGAGCCCCAGTCCAGGACTGTATTTCTAAACAAGCCTCTTTCAAATCAAAAGGTGAATAAAGAACTTGTTGAAAAGTTTACCAATCAGCAGTGGACATTGATGGAGGAAGGTCATTGAGCAATAAAGAAACTGCTTGGCTGGCCCTGATAGGTTAAAGCATAAGTGGGAGGAGTAAACAGAATAGAATTCTGGGAGGAAGAGGAAGTGAGGTCAGACTCTGCTCTGCTCCCAGAGAGACTTGACAGCTCTGCTCTTTGGAGCAGAGACGCGTCCAGACAGTGGGAAGGTAGGCAACTGTGAGAACAAGAATCCCTGTGTCCGTAGGAAGGTTCTTTCAGGAACACAGTCTTAATTTTTAAAATTTATTTTTTGAAGGTGTCTTGCTAAGAACTTTTATATCACTGGAATTAAAGGCGTGTGCCACCACTGCCCAGCCTTTGTCACTTTTCCTACAATAAAATCTATTTGTGTTTCTCTCTCTCATTCATCTAACCACTTTAAAAAAAAAAGATTTATGTGTTGACTTATTTATTTTATGTGTGTGGGAGTTTTGCCTGTATGTATGTATGTATGTGTATCACATGTGTGTCTGGTCCCCAAGAAGGCCAGAAGAGGGTGTCTGGAACCAGCGAGAGTCACAGGTGGCTCTGAGTCACCGTGTGGGTCCTGGGAATCAAACCTGGGTCCTATAGAAGAGCAGCCAGTGCTCTTAACCACTGAACCATTTCTCCAGCCCCTTCATTCCTGTTTTTAAAAGATTTAATTTTCTTATTTTTGTTCCTGTCCTACCTGTTTGTTTACTGGCTTTTCTTCCTTCCTTCATTCCTTCCTTTCTTCTTCTTCTTTTTTTATTTTTATTTTTTTTAAATTTTTTCGAGACAGTGTTTCTCTGTAGCTTTGGAACCTGTCCTGGAACTAGCTCTGTAGACCAGGCTGGCCTTGAACTCAAGACATCCACCTGTTTCTGCCTCCAAAGTGCTGGGATTAAAGATGTGTGCCATCATCACTTACTTGGCTAGTGTTTATTTTTTAATTAAGTGTGTACATACATGTCTGTGTATGGGTTTGTATATATGAGTGTGGGAGCTTACAGAGGGCAGAAACATCATATTCCTTTGGAGCCGGAATTACAGGCCACTGTGCACAGCCTGACATGGGTCAGGGAATCAAACTCTAGTCCTCTGCATGGGAAGTGAGTTTATCCATCACGACATCTCTCCAGCCCTCTACCTTCATCATCTTTACCTAGAGACTCTATCTCCTGGGCTGGTGAGCTGGCTCAGCAGCTGGGGGATCTGAGTTTGATCCCTGGGTCCCACACTGTAGGAGAGGACCAACTCGTGCATGCTGTTCTCACCTCCACAAGCATATACATTCTGGTGTATGTACACATCCATAGGCAAAGAAACACATGAAAAAAAATTAGGAAAAAAATAAAAGTTATCTTTTGTTAGATGTTTAATAAATACTGATTTCTATTTTTGTCTGGATTTTCTTGGTTTGTTTTCTAACATAGTTTATTCATTAATCCGTCAGTAATTTATTTCACGGTATGCTAATCTAAATCATTTCCCTCCAAACTAATTTATTCCATTTAATGAATGAGCCTTTCTTTCTCAATTAATTTACAAGCCACATATACCCTATGGTAAGCACTCACAGAATAGGCCTATTCTCTTCCACCAAAAATTCCCAGTCTCGCTTAGTTCCAAGTAGGATGAATTTACAACTTTAGAGCCTTTTCTTTCTCAGAATTCCAGGAACAAAGACTCCAACTGCCCCGTGGTCTGTTCTTCCGTTCACCATAGATACACAAAGAGCAAGGTACTACTCAGCACAGGATGCTTCCAACAGAGGAGAGCTGACCTGCTGGGACCAGTGTGGGCATCAGAGAGCAGGCTTCTTAGCAGCCTAAATCCACCTGCAATGAAGTCCAAGAAAACGCCTGACTGCTCTCACGGCACTGAAATCTGTGTAACGGCTGGCAACCAGCAGGTACCTGTGTTACACCAGCCAGTGTTTGCTTACAGATCTGACCCATGGAAAGACTGGAAAAGGGAAGCAACCAAAATATGGTGCTCGACTCTAGACAGTATGCCAAGGAGCCTGGCGGAAGCTGCGGGCAGGCTGCATCCAGGCATTGTCTCCTGGTGTCACTGCTGGGAAGAAAGTCTCCAGTAGTGTCCCACAGCACCCAAATAACTAACCACCCAGGGAGCTTCGGGGAAGAGTGGGCCTGCGGTAGCTCCGTGCCTGATAAAAGGGACAACAACAGGACGTGGGGGTGAGCCTCTCAAGCACTCAGGACAGTCCGGGGCTCGGCAGGAAGAAGCAAATTCTGACCCAGAATCTTTACCCAGGACTCCGAGGGTCCCGAGGTTACTGGGGGTCGGGGGGGGGGGCACACGGTACTGTAGTGAAGATGTCTGTTCGCTGGCAAGGGTGTGAGTCTTAGAGGAGCCAGTGAAGCTTTTCTTCAAAGTCAGATAGTTTGTACGGCAATGTGGGCCATGCCCTCTCTGCTGCAGCTTCTCAACCACGCCAACTCCACAGGCAGCACATGTAATGTACAAAGGACTGAGTAGGGCGATACAGCTTCATTCATAAAGGCCTCATACAACTTCATTCAAGAACCAGCAACTGGCAGGAGGTTGCCAAACCCTAACTGCAGTGTGAAAAAGAAGCCACTGTCGGGTCTTAAAGGTGGTATTTTCTTCAGGCTGTTATCCGGCAGATTCTACTGTTGGTGGGAGCACCACACACCAGCCTGCATAATGCCCAATCCCACCCGCCTCCTTCCAGCACCGTGTCACCGTGGCCCACTGTCTCTAATCCCATAGGCACTGATTCACTGGGCACAGCAGAAAATCTATAGTGTCTGAGAAGTAGACAAAGACAGGACGATCTTGGCCTGAGGTCTGACTTTCCTATTCAAGTCTCTTGAGTTGTTGCAGGAGGCTGTGACATCTTGATGGCAAGGAGGTGGCAAGAAGCCCTGAGCCTTTTCAAAGGAAGATGCCATGGACTAAAGCTGAGATCACTAGCCCCTTTTGGCTAAATGGGTGACAAAATATTAAAAAAAAAAAAAAAAAGAAAGAAAAAAAGGAAACAGACTGTCTCGGATCACACATCTCTTTCTGACATAAAAACTAGTCCTTGGCAGTTGTAGTAGCACACATCTGTATAATAACAACACTCAGGAAGCTGGTGCAGGAGAATTACAGTTTGAGGACAGCCAGGGCGACAAAGAGAGAACCCCCTCTCCATTTCAAACAAACAAACAGAGGCTGTGGAGAGGGATCTTTGGGTAAAAAGCTTGCTGTAGGTGTGGGGACTGGAGTTCAGGCCCCAGCACGCACACAAACAGCTGGGCAGATGTGACAGCACACCTGGAATCCCAGCACTCAGGCGGCAGTGACGGGATTTCCTGGGCAAGCCGGTGAGCCAGAGGAGCGAAGCTCCAGATTCAGTAAGATTCACTCACTAAAGTGGAGAATGACTGAAGACGCCCGCTGTCAACCTTTACAAGCACATGTGCAGTGCACACATGCAGTACACCCATGCACCCACACACACGAGAGCATACATGACTACTCCACACACACCCACATAATTTCTTTCTGAGATGCTGCCACATTCCTTGGGCTGTATATGGTTATATAACACATAAAAAATCATTTTGGATTCACAGACTGCAGCATCTGCTCCGGCTGCACACACATATGCTCATTTCTAAGGAGACTTCTGTCCAATTGTCCCTCCCTTTCCACTGGGACCAGACAGGAGTTAATTAAACGAATATCCCAAAGATGGCGCAGAGCTTTCTTGAGGCTAGCAGGGGAGTTCAGCACAGAGGGGCTGCCTCAGCTACTTCTAATTTTCCAGATGCAGCCCAGATGTGGCAGATGCTCAATGAATAGCTGATGAGCTAAGTGGAGGAAGTGGCAAAGTCTGCAGCTGTCCCTCAGAAGGCGGGCACAGAACAGACACCCAGATGTGAGAACAGAATAACAGACATAGAATACAGGGCCCCAGTGATGTTGCATGGGCTCTAACAGCCTGTAAGGTCAGGGCATTGGCCAGTGCACAGTGCTATCCAGGACAACATCTGGACAGAAAACTGGCTGGCATCACTACCACCCTAGTTTGGCTGTTGTGGTGGCACAGACTCCAGGTTTGCCCAACCTAGCAGGGACAGGAAAGGCCACTCAGCCTTCATTTTCTGGAATGAGGGAGGAGATGCCTGCTCAGAACACAGCTGACCAGGGCAGGTGTCTGTCACTGTTCTAAGAGCAGAGACTCCCTGCATGAAGTGCAGAGTTGGGTAGGATGTGAGAGGCGGCAAGGGTACAACTGCTTCTCTTTCTTCTTGTGTATGCGCGTGTATGGGCTCACATGCACACGTGTACACACACGCAGGGAAGCCAGGAGGCCAGAGGTCAACCTCTGGCGCTGTTCCTTAGGCGCCACTCACCTATTCTTTCCCGTATTTATTTATTTCCTTCCTTCCTTCTTTCCTTCCTTCCTTCCTTCCTTCCTTCCTTCCTTCCTTCCCTCCTTCCTTCCCTCCTTCCTTCCTTCGTAGACAGGGTTTCTCACTGGCCTAGAACTCTCGAGTTCAGGCAGCCAATGGGTCTCTCTCCAGCACTGGGATTATAATATTATAATTTCCCTACACTCACTTTTATACATTAAGAGTTCTGGGGGTTGAATTTAGTCCTTCATTCTTTCATGACAAGCATTGTATAGACTAAGCTATACACACCCCAACCCCTTTCTGGGAGACAGGGTCTCATGTATTCCAGGCTGGCCTTGAACTCATTACATAGATGAAGATGACCTTGAACTTCTGATCTTCTTGCCTCAGCCTCCCAAATGCTGAGATTATACATGTGAGCCATTTTACCTAGTTCCTTTCCCAGTACTGGGGACTGACCCAGGGCCTTGTGTGCATTCTGCCCCTTACTAAGGATATATGTCCTTAGCCCTTACTTTTTCTAAGTCAGTCAGGTCAGTCTAGGAAAAGAACTGTCTAAATGCTAGACACATACATAGTCCAATGAGAACACAAACACGTTTCCAAGGCGAGTAGAAACTGCTGACTATTGGTTATCATGCATTTCTCATGACAACAGTCTTCTCCACGTGAAAGCTGGTTGGTTCAGGCAACACTGAGGCAGCTCACATGGGCCTGTAAGCCTCACCTTAACAACAGGTAAAGTCCCTGAGTCTTCTAAAGTCAGTGGCTGGAAGTGTCTCTGTCCGACATCAGGTGTAGACAGCACACCCTGTGAACACACACACACACACACACCACACACACACACACACACACACACACACCCAGCAAACAGTGACCCTGCTCTGGGGCCTAAGGAGTACTGCTGCATCCCTCAACTGGAAACAAACCCTGACAATGGAATTTGTGTGACATCTGCAGTTTAAGTTTACCCTTCCTTTATTTCCTTTCCTCAACAACAAATGCCCTAAAGTGTTCAACAGGATCAGAGAATCTTGGAGTCTTGACCTCTGGGTACTCAGATACCAAAATACCACTGAGGGTGTCTGCTTATGCACTGATTCTATACATGTGCAAATAAATGTGAGCTTACAAATCCATATATTCTTTAAGTTAAATAGTCACAAGGTCTGGACTTGGGACTGGGAGCTCTTATAGAGGACCTGAGTCAGTTCTGAGCAACCACAAGGTGGCTCACAACCACCTGTTACTCCAGTTCCAGGGCATCCGGTGCCCTCTTGTGGCCTCCAAGTGCTCCTGCACACATGTGATACACATAAACTCACATACATATAAATAAAAAATAAATAAGTACTTTTTTTTTTTTTATAAGACAGGGTCTGGACGCCTGGAATTTACTATGTAGACCAGGTTGTCCTCAAACTCCCAAATGTTTGCCTGCCTCTGCCTCCTGAAGACTGGGAACAAAAGTGTGTGCCACCACACCAGGCAAATAAAGAAACCTTTAAAAACGGTACACAGATGTAGTAGACTACACAGACCAGCTCTCCACGCTGCCTTTCTCCCTCACATCTCATCAAAATGCCCTTATTTACTTGTTTGTTTACGGCAATGGTTTCCTTTTCTTAGTCGGGCTACTCTGGAAATATCAACCAGGCTGGCACTGAACTCTGAGCAGCAATTCTCCTGCCTCTGGCTCCAAGAGGTTGGGACTGTAGGTGTGGCTCAGGATAGTTAAATGCATTGATTTTAGTGACCAACTTAGGAGAGAGCCCTGAACTAGAGACTCAAAGGTATCTCAGGAAGCTCTGCAGAGAGGATGGTTGCAGGAGACCGGTCAGGCTGCTGAGTAAGACAGACAGATGCACTGGAGGAACCCAGAGTGCCCGAGGTACCTTGGTGGAAGTGTCCGGGATGGAAGAGGTGGGAGATCCAGGGAAAGTCAAGACACACTTCTTGCCCAGGCAGCGGCCATGTAGCTCGATGTCCTCATACGGATTTTCCTTCATAGGTGGATCTACGAGCAACAGCAAAATGAGTCAGGAATGTTAGAACTTTGTCTTTTCTCTCTTTTAAAAAGATATATTTTGCCGGGCGGTGGTGGCACATGCCTTTAATCCCATCACTTGGGGGGGGGGCAGAGGCAGGCGGATCTCTGTGAGTTCGAGACCAGTCTGGTCTACAGAGCTAGTTCCAGGACAGGCTCCAAAACCACAGAGAAACCCTGTCTCGAAAAACCAAAAAAAAAAAAAAAATCTATTTTATGCGAATGGCATTTTTCCTGCACGCACTATCCATGCACCCTGTGTGTGGCTGATGCCTGAGAAGGCCAGAAGAGGGTGTCAGATCCTCTGAACTGGAGGTACATATGGTTGTGAGCCTCCATGTGGGCATGGGGACTGCACCAGGCTCCCTGCAATAGCTGCCAGTGCTATTAACTGTTGTGCCATCTCGCAAGGCCCTGAACTTGTCCCATTTTTTTCTCTCCTGTTTTTTTGAAACAGGTTTTCTCTGTATAACAGCTATCCAGGAATTCATTCTGTAGACCAGGCTGGCCACACACCTGCCTTTGTATCCCAAGTGCTGAGATTAAAGGCATGTGCCACCACTGTCCACTGAAAAACTATTTACTTATCATTTTTATTTTATGTGCATTGGTGTTTCACCTGCATGTGTGAGGGTGTCAGAACTTCTGGAACTGGAGTTACAGACAGGTGTGAGCTGCCATGTGGGTGCTGGAAATTGAACCCAGGGCCTCTGGAAGAGCAGCCAGAGTTCTTAACCACTGAGCCATCTCTCCAGGCACCTGAACTTTTTATATGGGAGCACTAAGGCTTTGCTTTTCCATGTGCGTGCTTGTGGGCTGTGTGTGGTTTTACTGGTCACCCCTTCCTCGTAGCAGCAGAATCTGATTTTTACTAAGGGATAACTCCCCATCTCCTGACGTGTGTAACTGCATCCCCAGGTCCAGGGCTTGCTGCTCTACGGGGCCTGGACACTAGCCTACAGGTGAGTTCAGGAGGCTTTGACAGCCCAGGCCTAAGGCAGACATTGAACGTCACTTCCAGCTCTGAAAATGATCATGGGACATAAGCTGGTCTGGCCAGAGCGACTCAGGGCTTTTGCTGGCTTCGTAGGCCCCAGGCTCTAGATCTAGAGGGGGAAGCCACAGGTCCAGAGGGCTGCCTGGGGACAAAGTCACCCTGGGAGAAGAAAGGAGAAACCAGCTTGGGTTACTGCTTCCCCCAAAGTACCTTTGCTATCTCATTACAAGGGTGGGAGCCCAGCCTGAAGCTGTGGTTCAAACAGTTCTGCTAAGCCCTCCTGCCCTCCTGTGCTTCCTCCCTTAGGAGGCATTTCTGGTACCGATGACCCTCACATGCAAATGCCTGTGTATAACTCTCTCTCACTAGCTCTTTTTCTGTTTCTAAGGTTACACTGAGGTGGCTGGAGAGGTGGTTCAGCGGTTAAGAGCACTGCCTGCTCTTCCAGAGGTGCTGAGTTCAATTCCCAGCAACCACATGGTGGCTCACAACTATCTGAAATGAGAACTGGAGCCCTCCTGTGGCCTGCAGGTGTACACGCAGACAGAACACTGTGTACTTAGTTATGATTCTAAGTATATGTGTTTATAACAGCTAAAGTGTGCTGGGGGAATTTAACATGTTAAAGCTTCATGCCATCTGTAGAGGAGATTATAAACTACAAGCTATTCCTATGACACAAACCAGTTTTCAGTGTCTTCTAACTGAGAAGAATCTTATCCAGCACACTTCTTCTAAGGTGGCTCACATCAAGCAAGGTTTGCTTTTATTTTTACTATTTTCTTTTATATCAGCCTGGTATTTCTTTCATTCCTGCCAGTTCTGGGAAAGCAGTTCCTAAGTGACGCGTAAAGACCCAGGGTACAGGGGGATCCTCTGACTCATATGAGACGGGCATGTCCAGCACCCTGACTTCTCCAAGTACCCCCAGAGCTTCTCGAGTTGCTGGCTTTGCGATGGGCCACAGTGACAGTCAAAGCGGGATAACTGGCGCTGAGACATGCCTGTGGGCTCCCAGCCACCCTGCTCATACATCGTCTCTCTTCTGCCATCACGAGCCTCAGGTCTGAGCTCACGCCTCGCTGAAATGGAGCTATCCCCTGCAGATTCCTGAACTCTGAAATAAACCCTGGACCTAAGTCCTCTTTGGAAGCCGAGGAGGTTAGAGCTCCGTCAAGGTTATTTTTCTCGCCAGACGTCATTTAGTCTCTGCTTTGCTACCCTGCCGGAGTCACACTCTCATGGTCTACAGTGTTTCCATTCCACAGATGATGGCAGAGAGGCCTGTTATATATTCTCATCAATCCTAAAGCAACTTTGCAAGGCAGCCACCATCATCATGAGATGGACAAAGAACTCACATTCTGAGCCCTTGTGCCACCAGCTAAAGTCACAAAGCTAACAACTGCAGAGCCAGGATCCTACCCTGGATCTCAAGGGGGGCTCTGTTTCTCAGATCACCCTGTTCCTCCTTCAGCCCGCTGAGGCCCCCCCTCCCAGCTCGCCTACCTGCTGCTTTCTAGTACATTAACGGCACGTCTGTCTTCAAGTGCATGCATGTGTGTTTGGAGCAGAAACTCCGTGCCAACTCTGTCCGGCTCACTCACAGCCTCTTACCTAGAATGTCTTCGTAGACGTTCTCCTCCGATAAAGTGCGAGTGAGTCCCAGCTTGGTCTGTGCGTACCAGTCCACCCTGTTGCTCTCAGAGGAGGACTGCAGTAGGTCTTCAAACTCATAGGACTTCCTGCGTTGCGCACCAGGGAAGGAAAGAAAAAGAGAACGTGATAATTCACGTTAGTTCAGGCTGGTTCCGAACCCGGCAGAGGTCACAGGGCAAAGGGGCCAACTCAGAGCTCTCAGGCCAGGGCTGCAGAGCTGGAAGGCAGGGCAGATGCCTGAGCTGTAGCAGAAACCCATCCCAAAGGGGCGCTATCAGCCCATGAGCCTCTTCTGCCTCCATTGAGGGTTCCAGGCAGGACAGAGGGTCTAAGTCTTGGAGCTCTAGCAGATAGGTCCCAGTCTGGGACATAGTGTTAGCTGCTTTCTCTGGTTGTTCTTTGCCCAGATTAGTAAGTACTCTGATGGTGGACACTGGGGTGAAGGTGTGGTTTGCGGAGCAGCACCTTAACAACTAAAGATGTCTGTATACTTCAGGGCATGAGTTCAAGGACCCAGCTCTCTTCTTTACAGTACAACTACTAGCCTGGATGATCCTGGGCTCTGCTGGGATGGGATTAACCATTATCCAAATGGCTACTGCTGGACGCTCTGGACTTTAAGACATACCTTAACTCCGGTGTGATTTTTTTTCCACATTTATGGGAGCAAGATGCTAACATATAAGGTACGCTTTGCATTTGAATCCTGACAGATAAAAGGTTTTGATACCCTAAGCAGCATCTAGAAAGACTACATTTTTGTTTGTATGTTTTTGAGATAGGGTTTCCCTGTGTATCTTTAGCTGTCCTGGAACTCACTCTGTAGACCAAGCTGGCCTTGAACTCACAGAGATCCTCCTGCTTCTGCCTCCCAAGTACTGGAATTAAAGGCGCGTGTCACTACTGCATTTTAAGAATATGAACTTTCTTTGAAGAACTGATCTGGAGGCAGGCATGGAGTACATGTCTACAACTCCAGCACTTGGGAGGCTAAGACAGGAGGATATGGTTATCAAGTTATAGGTCAGCCTGGTCTGCATAATGAGACACAGCTAGGAGCTAGGTATTATGGTGCAGAATCATAGCATTGTGGAGGCAGGAGCAGGTAGATCTACGTGAGTTCTAGGCCAGTCATAGTGAATTCCAGGTCAGTCAGAACGACACTGTGAGACCTGTCTAAAAAACCTTAAGTACAATACAATAATAACAACAATAATAATAACACAAATAGAAACTGGGCATGGTGATGAATGTTTATAATCCCAGAACTCGAGGCTGAGGCAGGAGAATTGTCAATAGTCCCAATCCTACTTAGGCTACAGAGTTTCAGACCAGTCTGGGCTGTAGATCTTGCCCCAAAACAAACAAACAAACAAACAACAACCCCCCCCCACAGTAACATCAAACAAAAACAAACAAACAAAGGAAAATGCGGGCGTGAGATGGCTCAGCAGGTAAAGGTGCTTGCCAACAAGTCTGATGACCTGAGTTCAACCTTCTGGACCCACATAGCATAAGATGAGAAACAACTCCTGCAACAGATCTCCACTCCTGCGTCACACTACCCGAGCACCCCTCCTCACACAGACCCACAGATAAATAAATGTAATAGAAAGTCAAAACAAAGTCAGAAACAAGCAGTTACATTGCAAACCCTCCACAGCCTTGAGCACACTAAACAAGTGCCTTGTCACTTTACCCTTGGTCCCTGGCTTTTTGTTTTGTTTTTGTTTTTTCAAGTCAGGGTTTCTACGTGTAGCCCTGGCTGTCCTGGAACTTGCTCTGTAGACCAGGCTGGAGATCCTCGTGCATCTGCCTCCCAAGCACCAGGTTTAAAGGTGTGCTCCATCATACTGGGTTCCCTGTATGTATGAGGGTCTCTCAGTATGTCGCCCGGGTTGGCCTTTGTACTTGTGATCCTCCTGCCTCTGCAGCAAAGCTTAACTTGTAAAATAAATTACCACAGGGTTTCCTAATGGTGAGTCCATCTCTGTGTTAAGTAAGGTGCTGTTTTTTTTTTTGTTTTTTTGTTTTTTTTTTTGGTTTTTTTGAGACAGGGTTTCTCTGTAGCTTTGGAGCCTGTCCTGGAACTAGCTCTTGTAGATCAGGCTGGCCTTGAACTCCCAGAGATCCACCTGCCTCTGCCTCCCAAGTGCTGGGATTAAAGGCGTGTGCCACCACCGCCCGGCCAAGGTGCAGGTTTTCAAGTGACCAAAGTGTGAAATCTTTTTACAACATTGTAAATCAAAACAAAGTAAGATCCACAGAGCAGCAAGAAGGAGCCTCTGACTTCACACGAACAGTTTCCAGAACCAAGAGAAAAACAGAACTCCAATTATTCCAAGGTCTGGCTTATCAGTGTCAGGATCACTGGTGCGAGGCTGGCTAGCAGGGACTTCTGTCCTCTGGTGCTGAGGTTCAGGTGAAATGAGGGAAGTGTATGTGCTAAATCCTGACCTGACCTGGGGCTATCCCTGAGGTCAGGCTGACCCTCGCGCCTGGACACCTGCATTGTTCTGCTTCTGTAACCTCTTCCCCATCAAACAGTGACGCCTTGGTGAAGTGACTTTGTCCTGGCCTTAAAAGTTCACATCCTCAGCCAGGCGTGGTTGTGCACGCCTTTAAACCCCCGTGCTTGGGAGTCAGAGAGGCAGGTGGATCTCTGTGAGTTAGAGGTTAGCCTGGTCTACAAAGCGAGTTCCAGGACAGCCAGGGCTATAAACCTTGTATCGAAAAACAAAACAATCAAAAAAGTTCATATCCCGTCATGTTTGCTAACAGCTATCACAGCTATAGCAGGGGGATGTAACAAACTTGTGTTTTTTTTTCTTGTATAAACCCCCTTACTCACTTAGCTCGGGGCCGCCTTTTTAGATTTGTAGTAGGGTCTGTGTGGTGTCAGGAGCCATTTCCCCCCTAAAATTACAGGAACCATCACCCTAGGGAGTCTGCAGGGAACCTCACACCCATAATTATGTTCTATTGAGAAAACCTGCCCCACACCCAATTAAGCTGTTGATAGAGAGCTATCTGTTAGTGGAACGCACCTCACATTCCAGCTATCCAGGGAACTAGGTGTGGCAACTTGTGACTTCTGGCCTACCCGTCTGAATGTAACCTAGCCTACGTGACCTGGACCACGCAGCGAGATTCCATGCCCTGCCCCCCATTCCTTACCATATATAAACTGTAACCTGTCCCTAATAAACGGAGGCTTTGACAAATCTGCTTGGCCTCCTTCTTCTGTCTTAGCTCATTCCCTTCCCTTCCAGGTAGCGCCCCTCCGTGACCCTGGAATAACTGATTGCAGGGTGGGTTACAAACCCCTAGACTGAGTAACCCACCCAACGCAATCGACAGTGTGGCTTAATAAAAAAAACTCTAAGGAGCTCATCCTGGTCTCCTTTTCTTGGGTGAGAATGGCCCGGCCACAACACAGGTAAGAGAAACCTGCTCACATGAATGACTGATGCACTGTACGAACAACTTTGAACTTGAGAAACGTTTTAGCATCTTTTTTTTTTTTTTTTTTTTTTTTTTTTCGAGACAGGGTTTCTCTATGGTTTTGGAGCCTTTCCTGTAACTAGCTCTTGTAGACCAGGCTGGTCTCAAACTCACAGAGATCTGCCTGCCTCTGCCTCCTGAGTGCTGGAATTAAAGGCTTGCGCCACCACCGCCCAGCGGTTTTAGCATCTTTATGTAGTGACTTGGAGGAGAAGGGCCTTTCAAAGGCGAATGGATGATAAGCACAACTGATGAGGTCTCTAGCTAAACACGCCCAGCACTCAGGTACCACACCACCCACAGGTGTGCTAAATGCCTTCCGCGGGTCACACTGTGCTCCGAACCAGTGAAGCAAAGGCAAGGAGTCCCCGCCTTACAGTTGGAGAGAATGTGACCCCCTATAACTTCCTTGCCTCCCAGGTCCTCCAATGACCACATGGCAGCTGGCTTTAGAGATGTACCCTGATCTCACTGTTGCAATGAACTCCCTGTAGCTCAGGCTTCGTCCAATATACTGTAGAGCTGAGGATGGCCTTGAACTTCTGCTTCTTTTGCCTCTGCCTCCCAAGTGCTGGGACTACTACTGTGAAGATCATGCCTGCTCTATGTGGTGCTAGGGACTAACCCCAGGTCTTCATGGTACTAGGCGAGCAATGGAGACATCCTAGTATGCCGCATCCATCTCCAGGGAATTTCTTCTTCTATTTCTCTTTCCTAGTTCCTTTCTTTTCTAGCCCTCCCTCCATGGGAGTCTAGTACCAGTACTCAGGAGGCTGAGGCAGGGGATCTCAAGTTTGAGATCAGCCTGGAGTATATCATGAAATTGTCTCAAAAAACATTTTTAAAAAATCATGACCAATGTCCAATTACTGTGTGAGGATTACTAATGACTTTTCCATACTTTTGTAAATGAAATGCTAATTTAAGGCAGTGGGCAAGAACCTCAAAATTAACATGTCTCAAAAGAGGTTCCTCTCTTAGAGCTGCCCACTGGAAGGCCAACCAGATGTTTATGCCTGAAGCTGCAGGCACTCTGCTGAGCCTCTTCTCCCGGCCCACCTACACCTAACCAACAAACTGCATTCTACCTCCCCAGCCACTGGAAACTGATCACTTCCTCCAGGGCCCCCACTGGAATTACATCACAACCTGACCACGACACCCACTCTGTCGCCAAGGGGAACCCTAACAGATGCAAACCTGATGACTGCCCCCTTCAAAGCTGTGCCATGTTTCTTCCCGGTGCTCCTTTTGTCTCTAGAGCTCTGGGATTGGTCCCATTGGACCGCACGGCCTCCTCGTCCATCCTTGGGGACCCCTATCCCAAGCTGTCCAGACCCCTGGCCTTCAGTTCCTCCAACATGAAGAAACCTATATCTGCTCCTTCACTGACCTTCCATCTGCCACCCCCTCCCACCAAGCATCTACACATCTCTTCCTCTCAAGGCCGTGCTGTGCCCTAGCAGGCTGGGTTCACCTGCTGAACATTCCCACAGCACCCATGCTTCCTGGGAGCACGTGGCTCTGGAGTCAGCGCGAGCCTCACCCAGCAGCTGTCTCCTCCTGCAGTCAGTCCGGGTTC